GAATAGTAAATTGGTTTGAAGATGACTCTACACTGGGAACAGTGACATTGGTTTGAAGATGACTCTACACTGGGAACAGTGACATTGGTTTGAAGTATGACTCTACACTGGGAACAGTGACATTAGTTTGAAGATGACTCTACACTGGGAACAGTGACATTGGTTTGAAAATGACTCTACAATGGGAACAGTGACATTGGGTTGAAGATGACTACAATGGGAACAGTGACATTGGGTTGAAGATGACAATACTGGGAACAGTGACATTGATTTCAAGAAAGCTCTACACTGGGAATAGTGACATTAATTTGAAGATGGCTCTATGCTGGGAACAGTGACATTGATTTGTAGCTGGCTCTAGACTTGGAATAGTGACATTGATTTGAAGGTGACTCTACACTGGGAACAGTGACATTGGTTTGAAGATGACTACACTGGGAAAATTCCCAGTCTATAGTCATCTTCAAACCAATGTCACTGTTCCCAGTCTATAGTAATCTTCAAACCAATGTCACTATTCCCAGTGTATATTCTTCAAACCAATGTCACTAGTAACATTATTTGAAAATGACTATAGTCTGGGAATAGTAACATTGATTTGAAAATGACTCTACACTGGAAGCAGTGACATTGGTTTGAAGATGACTATAGAACAGGGAATAGTGACATTGGTTTGAAGACGACTCTGATTGGGAACAGTGACATTGATTTGAAGATGGCTCTAGACTGTGAGATAGTGACATTAATTTAGACTGCTGTATAGTGACATTATTGGTAGAAAGATTTAAATTGCGGTATGGTGACGTTGAATTGAAGTCTGTTCTACATTGTAAGTCGGTGACATTGATTTATAGACCTGTTTAGATTGTGGGATAGTAACACGTTAACCGTCACTCAAGTGAGGTTTTCGAAAACTAAAAAGATTTATAAAGCTAATGTAATTCTAATTTGTTTACACTATAATAGGACGACTCACCTGAGATCAATGAAGGTAAGACTCGTAGGAAACATCGAAGCCTTGATCTCTTTAATGTTGTTGTCTTTCAAGCTCAAGCGTGAAAGTTTGTCGAATTTGGAGAATGCATTTTCGTCTACTTCTGATATCGAATTACTGGTGAGAAATAATTTGCCAAGCTGGTAGGTAGTTAACCATTCACTCAATGCAGGAAGAGGATTAAGTTCTGCATTACTTATTTCAAGGACTATTAATTCTTCAAGAGGTTCAAGAGCATTCCACAAGATCCCACTTGAAATGTTACTGTTAAATATATTTACAATCTTTAAAGTGTGCTCTAGACCCATGAAAATGTTTTTCCCGTCTTTAAAATGAGCTTTAACAATCGTGACATTATTAAAGATCATTTCATTGAATTGAGTTTGAAACAATGCGTTTTCAGGAAAACTAAAAAAATTAGTATTTGATAGTTCCATTACTGCTACTGTATTTTGTTTTGTTTTCAAATTATTGAGAACTTTACGCAGCTCTAAAGGAGAGCCAATACTTGAACATTTAAGATGCTTTTTGCCAAGTTCTTCTGAACACGAGCAAGGTTTTATTAAGTCTTTGTTAGGACAGTCGTCAGATGGTTGATTTCCATCTTGATGATCTTGTACAACGGACTGGCCATTAGCAATGGCTGACAAAAGTAAAAGTGCTAGTACAGAACCACGCAACATGGCTACCTGAAACAATAATAATTAAGGATAACTATCTAAGTAAAAAATAAATCTATCTAAACTTATCACATAATTTTCACAAGAGTTAATAACTAGCATCAAACTACGGATTTACATTCATAATCATGGGCATCGCCAGGATTTGGTTTGTTACTGATCGTGATGCACATATCCTGGATATGTATACATGAATGTGTGTGTAGATGGTGAATACGTTATACTGAAATAAAAGTTCCTGAAAGTTTCAAAAATAAACTGGATAGTATCTACTTATTACTTAATTGAGGTTTGTGTACGTAACAATTCCAAGAATGATAATCCATTTTTAATAATCATTTTACACTTTATTACACAATATAATGTAGACATACATACATATTGCTATTTAAATCCTTCAGTTTAAAAACCGTATCGTACTATATTTAACTGCTTAGGTAGAAGTATATATATATGTGTGTGTGTGTGTGTGTGTGTGTGTGTGAACAGCCACAGCCTTTTAAAGCGTATTTAGTTGGCCCAGTGTAAATTAATATATAACAGATTTATCCTGGCCAGAACGTGATTTTGAAGTATAACGTCTGCCTGGTGAGTAAGTTGTAAACCGATATGGTACTTGCCCATTCACATTGTACTAAGAAAATACAAAGTCTGCAACAGATACCAACATCAATTGTAGAAAATAAAGTATAAATAAACATGTAGTCTCGCTTGCAGTGCACTTCAAACCATAAATATTTTCGGAATTTCCTAAAGCCTACAAAATGTTTAAGCTAGACCACCTTATTCTAAATTTCTGCCGTAATGCTGTTGACCTAAACATCCAAATTCTAACAAGTTAAAGAAAAAGGTATTGCTGATTTTCGTCAGTTTCTGACTACCCTTTCGGGCAGTTCAACTGAATAGAGATGAAGGTTTGAGGATTAATTTAAACATGAAAGACCCTGACAACCTATTACGTAATAATATTTACTTTACGGATAGTTCAGTTGATAATGTTGCCATGATAAAATCACCTGCAGTGTTAGTTTAAACTTGAAAAGAAATTAATTATCTCAAATCAGATTAATAAAAAGTTAAAGTACATTATTGTCATGAAATTCAAAAATTCACAAAATCCTTGATGAAAGAAAAATCGTGGTAGTAAAATAAGTTTTTGTTCCAGTTTCAGAGTTTGTGTTTTTATTTAAACCTATTTATAACGTATTAAATCTAAGGTACCTAATTATGATGAAAAGTTATTTTTATTGAAATAATATAAACGATATCATATTTCAAAATATACGAGTTAAAGTAGAAATATCTGTATTCATTAACATTTATTTTTGAGAAAGAAATAGAAGTTCTCGAAGACTTACTTATTCATGCAGTAGCTTCTGGCCTGTTAACAGCTTGTACGAGAAACGCAGTATAGCTGTTGTAAAGGTTATCATTAAAGTCTAAAGTTCAATAATATATATAACAAATACTTTTTTATCTGAGTTTCAGTCTTGAAAACAAATTTCCGTTACTAAAACCAACTGCAACACTTTGAAAAGGTTGACTTGCACAAAGCAACTTTAAACTTTGAAAAATGCTGATCACACACAACAATTTTAAACGTTTAAAAGGCTGGTTACACAAAACGACTTTAAACGTTGAAAAATGCTGATCACACACAACAATTTTAAACGTTTAAAAGGCTGGTTACACAAAACGACTTTAAACGTTGAAAAAGGGTGGTCTCACAAAGCGACTTTAAATGTAATATTGGCAACAAAAGTAATTCCGTTTAGTTCATTCGTGAAATCAGCTATTGTTATATTACGCATCTGTGAGTTGATAATTCATGTTCACTCAGTTATCTAACGTTGGATAACAAAGTTTAGTACCTTTTGTAAACACAAATTCGCTGCCACTTGAAGAACACTATCACAAAATCATACATATTACTTGTCACTAAACATTCACTACTGACTTTCAAAATGCAAACATGTTGTTGGTATTTTTAACATATGCGTGTCTATTTTATTATTATAACACAACGCAGGCGTATGTTAGTTTTCATAAGCTTTAAGGTTGTTAGTTTGTTTGAAGTTAAGCTCAAAGCTACACAATGAGCTGTCAGTGCTCTGCCCAACACGGGTATCGAAACCTGGTTTCCAGGGTTGTGAGTCCGCAGACATACCACTGTGCTGGGGGAGGGCAAGCTATAAGGAAGAAAACAGTTATATGCTATCTGATGTTAAACCTCACAGACTAAACAATATGAATTGTGACACATATGTTTAGTTATAATTTAAAAGTTAAGATGAGCTTTAGCTAATCTCTAAAAATATATACTATTCAATAAACTTATCTTATGTAGGTATACATCAGAATCGTCATAAAATATAATAAGAACTAATGAGATTCATTACTTTTAGTTTTCAAAAAGCGATTAAAGAGCTTAACACTTAGTTTGATTCTAATGAAAATTTCGGTCGGCATTTCGTTCAAAATTCTCTTTTGTTAAAGTTGTCGAAATAATACGCTAGTACTAGTTACTAATTTTCCAGGATATCAAAATAATATTTTTATTAAATTTATGTTTCTAGTACTAATCTCAAATTTTTTCTTAAATGAACAGTTTTTAATTTTTAAAAACGACCAAAATATTGATGATCTCATCGCAGAGACCAAAACGTAATGTACCTCTAGTCTCCAGTCGAGTGCAATCCATAAATACCACCTAATTAGCCTGACACTCTCTCAAAGAAGACCTTGGCGAGGCCATGAGCAGCAAATATGTTCATTTTCTGTAATACACGAAAACATTATAAGTTCATCAAAACATTTTACGTTGTCTAATTAAAACTCTTCATAAATATTTGAGAACATGAAACAAATAGACCCATGGGAGGTTGGCATAAGTTTACAGACTTACAAAAATAGAATCCAGTGTTAGATTCCCGCTGTGAAAAGAGCGCAGTAGTCTATATTGTAGCTTTACACTAAAAAAAAACAATAATAAAAATAGAAAAATGATTTATGCTTATTACTTGGGCAACATAAACCTAGTGTCATCATCTATGTGTAAATTTCGACAAGATCAAATGATCAAACCAAGAATGTATTTTTTTGTAAAACGTAATCAGCCATACATTAACAAGGTTTTAAATACCAAATCATTTTATTAAATATGTAGTTTAATTGTACTCGTGTTCCATCTCTTAGTATATTTTAAGACTTGTTTATTTGTAATTAAGCACAAAGCTACACAATGGGCTATCTATGCTCTTCTCACCAGGGGTATCGAAACCCGGTTTCTAGCGTTGTAAGTCCGAAGACATACAACTATGCCAGTGTGTGGGAGGGCTATTTTAGTACTGCTAAATAGATCATTTGGCAAACACTGTAGGTATTCAGAAAGACATGCCTCTATGTGCTATTATATTCTGTGGAAGAAAAAAACCAATCTCATAAACAAGCATCTAATTTGCTTATACACTGTGATAAAATAAATATTTTAACAGATAAAACAAGCACTCATAAACATCACTTAGTTTGTTGAATTTGCTTTGTTTTTAAATTTATAGCCCAATTGTGCTATATTTATTCATTTTGTTTGAATGTCAGAGTTAAAACTACAAAAATTCAAATGTCCTACACTTTAGACAAGCAACATCACAAGAGCTGTTATTACCAGAAAGTAAAGCCTGGCGCAGGGGGGAAGTGATGAGAGGAGGAGGTAAAACGACCACCCTAATATTCTAAAAAAATAAAAATAAAAGGTCCACTATTTTTAATAAACATTGACTTTCGTATAAGTCACTTAATTTCTTTGTGTAGAAGAAAGGGTTCACATTTATTGGAAAAATACCCCCCCCCCCGTATTGCTAAAAACGCCCCTTTGAATTAGTTTCGTCATTTGTTTCTTTACAGAAGTAATACTTTTCTTGTTTCTTTATAAAAAATCTTTCTGAGGGAATTTGGAAGTAGTAAAGTCACACTTAGACGATTATGCTAACAACAGACGGTGCTGAATAGGATTTAACAAATGATTGGAATAATCATAATTGCAGCCTTACTATACGAAGTCTCTAGAAAAATGCAAGACGAGTAAGTTACATGACTCCTTTGGAGTTAAACACAGTAAAGTTACATGACTATTTTTGGAGTTAAACATAGTAAAGTTACATTTAGTGGAGTTAAGTTTTGTTTAAAAATTATTAAGTGTGTTTCCACTTGTCTATTTATCTGTTGTTAAGTGATTTGTTGTAATTTAACATATATGAATATACCTTAGTCCATCTGATATAAGGAACTTGCAAACTTATGGTAGATTCTAGGGACTTAAGTTACATCATTTAATTCACCTCTTTGTCTCTTAATCTTAATTGGTTCATCAATCTGTTTATCAGTCCATCAAATAGACTAATGTATAGGTTCAGCAAATTCGTTTGTTTTAGATTTTTCACGCAAAGCTACACAAGGTATACTTGCACATAGTCGTTCCTAATTTTTAATTAACAGACTAAAGGAAAAACATCTGATCAACAGCACTCACTGCCATCTATTAGGCTATTCGTGTCTGATCAGATAAAGGGATTTGACTGCCACTCTTATAGCGCAAAGTATGAAGCTCGTTTTTTTTCAGCAACGGATCACGAACCATGAATCTTCGGGTTTACAATCCGAAATTGCTAAACATCAGGTTACTCCTGTACAATCATCCAAGGAAAATGGCTTGCAGAAGGATTGTTCATATAAAGTATAAAAGGTAATTTCTATATTTTTTTTTGCAGTGTATTATACCTGAATACTTTGTTGATACTGTTACGATCCCATATAACGGCATTGTACAATACGCAAAACAAGAAAAGATAACAGCTCTGAAATTGTAGTTTTAGAAAGATTTTATATTTATAGAAATGAAAAACAACATCAAATATTAACTTATGTATATAATATTTTCAAAAAGGTACAATATAAAGAAAATTCACTCCTTCGTAGGAACTGTCTCTCCAATTCAGACACATCCACTTACAAAATGTAATATGTCAAAATTCAGTTTCAGGCTATAAATTCACAGTTTCCAATTCACTCCAGATGTACGGTTACAAAAGTCCACTGTTCAAATGTCAGCTACAACAAACTTGTCAATATTTCAAACGGTTCCAAAATTCTCAAAAGCAATAAGGTTTACAAATGTTACAAAAATTTAAGACTAATTCTTAAATTTACAAATTCTACAGAGTAGAAGCCCGGCATGGCCAGGTGGATAAGGCGCTCGACTCACAATCTGAGGGTCGCGGGTT